TGGTACCTATAGTCATAATTATGCCTCATACAATACAAAACATTGTCAACAGTAGCCAGTATTCTTATGGAGAAAGAGCAACAATCAGCTCAACATAGCAAAACTTATGGATATTGTCATGTTTTTTATTTTTTAGTTCTTTGTAAATCCATCATGCTGGTGGTAAAAGTCCAGTTTGAATCTTAAAAACCTGAATGTCTCAGTCAGACCTTCTGAGGTCAACATCTTCACACGATTAAAGATTAACTGTTTTCAGCAGAACCAGCCACCGAGCGGTGATATGTGGACATGTAGATATCAGAGGTGACCCTGGATGAGCGGCGCGGGGCGATGTACCTCTTACCCAAACACCACAGGTCACGGAAGATCCTCCTGAAGTGGTTCCTGAACTTCACTCCAATGAAGGCGTACAGCACCGGGTTCAGGCAGCAGTGCAGGTAGGCGACGGTCTGCAGCACAGACATCGCCGTCTGCAGAGAGTCCACCTCGACACAATCGCTCTGTACGTACAAATGGACAGTCTGATACAACAGGGCCAGGTTGTAAGGCAGGTGGCAGACGATGAACACCAGCACCACCACCATCACCACTCGGACCGCTTTGTGTCGCTGGAAGTTTTTGGCTTTCTGCAGGGTGACGATGACTGCAGTGTAGCAGAAGATCATGATGAGCAGCGGCAGGAAGAAGCCAATGGCCAGTTGGGTGCTGGGAACAGCAACCTTCACTATGCTAGCAGTGGTAACGTCATCAAATTTCCACTCACAGACGTACTCTGGATCTGTTGTCTCTTCCTGATCGGTGATGTTGCTGATCCAGGTGACGGCATTATGTGGGTTGGTACCAATGGTAGAAGTGGAAAGTGGAACAGACACCAGTAAGGCAAAGATCCAGATCAGGGCACAGATAATGCGACTGTTTGACAGCGAGCGTAACCTGAAGCTCCGGCGAGCCTGGACGATGGCGTAGCGGTCGGTGCTGATGCAGGCTAACATTAGCATGCCGCTGTACAGGTTGACGCTGTAGGAACCACGCAGCAGCTTACAGGCCACCTGCCCCATGGGCCAAGAGTACAGCTCGTTGTAGACGATGAAAGGTAGAGCCAGAACGAACAGCAGGTCAGCGATGGCCACATTGAGCAGGTAGACGTCAGTCATGGATTTGGTTCTTGTAGAGGGCATAGGTCAGGATGACCAGGCTGTTCCCCACCAGGCCCAGGATGCAGATGATGGAGTGAATGTAAGGACCAACCACAGCGTTCACACTGTTGTTGTTACTGTTAGAACATGGTTCATAACCACCATCACCATAGTTGTCATCGTTTTCTTCGGCTGGATTGGAGTTATTAAAGATGTTCATCTTGTTTGTCTGTAATAAAAGTTAAAGAGAAACTTTATTAAAGTATGTGACAAAAGCAGCGATTCGCAAAAAATGTGTCATTGCACATGAAAACCAGCAGGGGGCAGTAATGTTGACTTATTGTCGATTAAAAACATTGAGCGAGAGATTTGTTTTTTGTTTTAATTTTTCATATTCGTGCAATTAGAAAAACTTTGGTGATTAATTTACGCAGAAAGTCAGAAAGAAAAAAAATTCTACAAAAAACTGATGATAAAACTGTGACAGAGAATATTTTCAGTTAATCTATATTTATGTCTCACTTACTGATAAAGTTGATGAAATAAATGGGATTTTCAATAACATTATTATTGATTAGATGGTTCTTATGGTTTTGTTTGAAAAAGTCTCTGAAAGATTTTGTTTCATGCGGAAGCAGAAATACAAAAATGAAACTAAAGAAAAGTTAATCAATTAAAATGACTTATCAATAAATAAACACTTTTATAAAACTTTTTAGGAAAAAACTGATAAAGTATTTATTGTAATATTTTTAAACCTTGTTTATGTTGTCTTTTCATAGCCATCTGTCTCTACAGATCATAATATATGCAAATATCAAACATTTATCTGCAGGGAACTTTTCATGCAAATGACAGTAATTCATACTGTAGAGCTTTACACAGGTAATAAAAACCCCTGAAGGAGGATCAGGGTGTCAACATGTTAGATTGTCTGATTATGAATCCAGTTTACAGAAACTTTCTGATCAGCTGTATTTCCACAGAAAATCATCTTCTGCCTCAGCTGAACGTCACTTATTTATCAAAACGAAACGCTGTAGGACAGAAAGTTATTAAGTTATTTCCTGTCCTGGATTGATGCTGGAACAAGATACTAGTGAATACAACATTTGAAAAAATATCAGAAATTCTGCTTTGTCGACCATTTATTAGTTTTAGAAATAATCTAAATATTTATTGCTGCAGCAATAAGATGAGCCAAAGCTGCAGGAGATTTCTGCATCAAGAAAACCAACAACTTTTCACTTCCCAAAGGAGTAAAAGGAGCAGATTCTTTAAAACAATTGAGATTTTAGCAAATACAGTTTCCTGCCATGTTTCTCTCAGCAGTGGCTGATGATCTGGATTCTCACCGTCTGAGGCTGATTGTCAGACAGTTTCCTCCTCGCTGTGTTGAATTAATCTTTCCAACTCAGAACGATCCAACGTTGCTGAACATCACTGAAGCTTCAGCGTCTCAGAAAAACAAAACCTCTGAGAGACATCCGTCCAACCCGCGGACTGAAACTCCCCACTGGTTTTCACTGGAGTTATTTAAAGGTTGTTTTTAATTTTCCCTGAATTTTTTATCCTCAGTTTCCTTTCATCTTTTAACTATTTGCATATTTGGGGAATGTACAGCATCCCTTCTTCCTTTTGTGAACAAGGCAGGTTGTGTGTCATAGTTGGTTATGAACAGGCAGCATGCAGACAGCCTGTCGTCACTGACTGGTGAACCTTTCATCCAAACTGAAACATCTGACTGGTACTGGTTCTGATCCAGTTCCAAGAACCCGTTTGGATTCCCAGTGAAAATAGCAAAACACTTTTAAAGCATCAATTCACAAGAATCACCTCAAAGTGCAGAACACAAATGGATCCAGAGAAAAACATTTAGCTTCATTATTGGGCTTTACGTTTGTGAAGAATTACAATGTTTTCATCGTCACAAAATATTTCTGATTTGGGTGATATTGTTTCACATTTCAAAGTTCAAACTTTACTAGTTTCTTTATATTAGCGTTTTTCCTGCCAGTCAGAGAAAGGCTGAACTCTCCTGTGCGTTCCTGCTTATCTATATCTATACTATACTAACTGATCAGAAATAATCAGGATTAAATGATCAATAAAACTGAGTGTCATCAACCAAACAAGGGAACTGACAGCAAATTTACCTTCTTATATAAATGCTACAGTAAAAAATATATATTTTACATTTCAGCAACAAGGCAGTTCAAATAACTTAACATAATAAAATGATACAACAAACAAGCAAGAAATATTAAATGACAGTGGAAAAATAAACATGGATGAATTTCCTAAGATCTTGTTGGGACTTTAATCCTGAAGGTGACGAAAGGCCGACTTTGTAACCGTCTTTATGTGTCTCTGAAGCTTCATTTTAATAACATTTACATGGAGTCTGGCTTACCAGCATTTTGTTCCCCTTTTTGACAATTTCTTTTTTGGCTTCTCACTAGTGGAGCAAATCAACATGGAGACTTATTCCTCCTACAGGACAAAACTCAACCTGACAGGAGAATCCAGTGAAAGGCGTCCAAATAATTTATTGATACATGATGGAAAGGAGAGAAAAATGAAGGATCCCTAACCCTAACCCTGACCCTAACTCATAACCCTAACTCATAACCCTAACCCCAACCCTTAGCCGTAAACCTTAACCCTTAACTCTAACACTTGTTATAATACAAATGAGTCAACGGAAATAAATAATAATAATAATAATAATAATAATAATAATAATATAATAATCAGATGTAGTTTCACTGTTGGCCACTAGATGGTAATGTTGTACCATCAGGATGACAGGATGAATCACGTCTTAACGCATCTAAAGTTCAGTCAGTTTGGGAGAAAAATATCTGAACCTTCATTTGTAGCCTTGACTCAGATTCCAGTCTGGACTTTAACTAGGCCGTTCCAAAATATAGATATGTTGTGATTCAAAGTGCAGAGCATGGAGACAAATGTGGACAGAGGGCCAATGTTTGGTGCACTACCTCCACCTAGTGGTCATGTAGTGGAAGAACAGCAGAGCCAGACAGGTCAGACCTGTTGCTGACGTCTCTCTGACTGTTTTTGTTTTCTTAAGCAACAGGATGTTGCTGAGCATTTGGATCATGTTGCTCTGACTGGGAACGATCTCCTCCCGTCTGAGCTTTAATTCAACACAAAGAAGGAAGTGAATCAGCTTCGGAAGGAGAATCCTGCTTTTGCATGACAGAAACGTTGCATTAGATTAATGAGATGCTGGATTTATTAGATAAAATCTCAGTCTTTTCAAAGGGACTGTTGCTTTTATAGAAAGTGAAAAGGTGTTTGGTTTGAATGGCAGCAGGAATGTGGATTAGCAGCTTATTGTTGCTAAGATGACTTAGATTATATTTAAGACCAATAAATATCATGGTCAATGAAGCAGAATCTCTGACATTGTTTCAAATATTTGACTCGCCATCATCTTCCTCTCCGTCTGATTTAACATGTTTTAGTGTTTCTGTTGATTGGAGGAAAAGTTGTAGAAAAAATCTGAACGATTCTTCAAACACTTAGAGAACAGAAATGATAAAAACCTTTCAGCAATTATTTCTTTTTTGTTTCTAAGCTTTATGTTTGTTTTATTTTTATTTAACAAACTCAGAAACATTATTAAACATGAGGGACAGGAGCCCATGTCTCTGTCTTCTCTGTCTTTTAAAATAGACTTGAATTGGTCCAAAGTTACAAGAGATGATCATTTTTAAATGAGATAAGATTTAAAGATTTAAAGCCTTTTCATCCAGTTCAGTTTTTATGTTTCAGACCAAAATAAGGATCAAAATAATGTCCTGAGACATAAAGTCTGAAATTTTTCCTCAAGAGTGAGTAAATGAACCATCCGTCAGACGGAGAACGGCTGTGACTCTGTGTGTATATTATGGTCTGTATCCTGGGTATATTATGGTCTGTATCCTGGGTATATTATGGTCTGTATCCTGTGTATATTATGGTCTGTATCCTGGGTATATTATGGTCTGTATCCTGTGTATATTATGGTCTGTATCCTGGGTATATTACGGTCTGTATCCTGGGTATATTATGGTCTGTATCCTGGGTATATTATGGTCTGTATCCTGGGTATATTACGGTCTGTATCCTGTGTATATTATGGTCTGTATCCTGGGTATATTATGGTCTGTATCCTGGGTATATTATGGTCTGTATCCTGGGTATATTATGGTCTGTATCCTGGGTATATTATGGTCTGTATCCTGGGTATATTATGGTCTGTATCCTGTGTATATTATGGTCTGTATCCTGGGTATATTACGGTCTGTATCCTGGGTATATTATGGTCTGTATCCTGTGTATATTATGGTCTGTATCCTGGGTATATTATGGTCTGTATCCTGGGTATATTATGGTCTGTATCCTGGGTATATTATGGTCTGTATCCTGGGTATATTATGGTCTGTATCCTGGGTATATTATGGTCTGTATCCTGGGTATATTATGGCCTGTATCCTGTGTATATTATGGCCTGTATCATAGGTATATTATGGTCTGTATCCTGGGTATATTATGGTCTGTATCCTGGGTATATTATGGTCTGTATCCTGTGTATATTATGGTCTGTATCCTGGGTATATTATGGTCTGTATCCTGGGTATATTATGGTTTGTATCCTGGGTATATTATGGTTTGTATGGGTATATTATGGTCTGTATCCTGGGTATATTATGGTCTGTATCCTGGTATATTATGGTCTGTATCCTGGGTATATTATGGTCTGTATCCTGGGTATATTATGGTCTGTATCCTTATCCTGGGATATGGTCTGTATCGGGTATATTATGGTCTGTATGGGTATATTATGGTTGTATCCTGGGTATATTATGGTCTGTATATGGTCGTATATGGGTATATTATGGTATATTATGTATGGTCATCTGGGTATATTATGGTCTGTATGGGTATATATGGTCTGTATCCTGGGTATATTATGGTCGGGTATATTATATCTGTATCCTGGGTATATTATGGTCTGTATCCTGGGTATATTATGGTCTGTATCCTGGGTATATGGTCTGTATCCTGGGTATATTATGGTCTGTATCCTGTATATTATGGTCTGTATCCTGGGTATATTATGGTCTGTATCCTGGTATATTATGGTCTGTATCCTGTATATTATGGTCTGTATCCTGGGTATATTATGGTCTGTATCCTGGTATATATGGTCTGTATCCTGGGTATATTATGGTCTGTATCCTGGGTATATTATGGTCTGTATCCTGTGTATATTATGGTCTGTATCCTGGGTATATTATGGTCTGTATCCTGGGTATTATGGTCTGTATCCTGTATATTATGGTCTGTATCCTGGGTATATTATGGTCTGTATCCTGGGTATTTATTCTGTGTATATTATGTATCTGTGTATATTATCCCTGTGTATATTATGGTCTGTATCATAGGTATATTATGGTCTGTATCCTGGGTATATTATGGTCTCTGTATCCTGGGTATATTATGGTCTGTATCCTGGGTATATTACGGTCTGTATCCTGGGTATATTATGGTCTGTATCCTGGGTATATTATGGTCTGTATCCTGGGTATATTATGTCTGTATCCTGGGTATATTATGGTCTGTATCCTGGGTATATTATGGTCCGTATCCTGGGTATATTATGGTCTGTATCCTGTGTATATTATGGTCTGTATCCTGGGTATATTATGGTCTGTATCCTGGGTATATTATGGTCTGTATCCTGGGTATATTATGGTCTGTATCCTGTGTATATTATGGCCTGTATCCTGTGTATATTATGGTCTGTATCATAGGTATATTATGGTCTGTATCCTGGGTATATTATGGTCTGTATCCTGGGTATATTATGGTCTGTATCCTGGGTATATTATGGTCTGTATCCTGGGTATATTATGGTCTGTATCCTGGGTATATTATGGTCTGTATCCTGGGTATATTATGGTCTGTATCCTGGGTATATTATGGTCTGTATCCTGGGTATATTATGGTCTGTATCCTGGGTATATTATGGTCTGTATCCTGGGTATATTATGGTCTGTATCCTGGGTATATTATGGTCTGTATCCTGTGTATATTATGGTCTGTATCCTGGGTATATTATGTCTGTATCCTGGGTATATTATGGTCTGTATCCTGGGTATATTATGGTCTGTATCCTGGGTATATTATGGTCTGTATCCTGGGTATATTATGGTCTGTATCCTGGGTATATTATGGTCTGTATCCTGGGTATATTATGGTCTGTATCCTGGGTATATTATGGTCTGTATCCTGGGTATATTACGGTCTGTATCCTGGGTATATTACGGTCTGTATCCTGGGTATATTATGGTCTGTATCCTGGGTATATTATGGTCTGTATCTGGGTATATTACGGTCTGTATCCTGGGTATATTACGGTCTGTATCCTGGGTATATTATGGTCTGTATCCTGGGTATATTATGGTCTGTATCCTGGGTATATTATGGTCTGTATCCTGGGTATATTATGGTCTGTATCCTGGGTATATTATGGTCTGTATCCTGGGTATATTACGGTCTGTATCCTGGGTATATTACGGTCTGTATCCTGGGTATATTATGGTCTGTATCCTGGGTATATTATGGCCTGTATCCTGGGTATATTATGGTCTGTATCCTGGGTATATTATGGCCTGTATCCTGGGTATATTATGGTCTGTATCCTGGGTATATTATGGTCTGTATCCTGGGTATATTATGGTCTGTATCCTGGGTATATTATGGTCTGTATCCTGGGCTCCCAGTGGAACCAGGACGGCCGTCTGAAGCTGCTGTCGTCACAGACCAGAAACCTGCTGCTCAGCTTTTACTTCCAACTCTTTAATTTCACCCTGATGTTTTCTAAAATATCACTGGTTCCAGTCCTAAAATGGTGGTGAACCGGCCGGTTCTAAGAACCTGTTTGGATTTCCAGTATAAACAGTTCAACATTTTCAACACCGAATGAAAAGAAAAATCATCTGAAGGGTTTCTGAGCCAAACTGATTCATTCCTTCAGTTTAATGGTATTAAATAATTCCAATAATCCAGCCGTAAAGTAACAGACGCACTAAACAGTTTTACCGGGAATATTTATGAACCTGACACTATTATGCAAATGAAAGAGAATCAGAAACATGGATAATATTTAACTGACATATTAAACTTTACTAAGTTTGTTATGTTGCTGATGGAGTCATTTAATGAGGTCACAGTAAATGACTGACTGACCAGTTTGACCAGTTTGACCAGTTTGTTCTGCAGATGTTCAGACAGTAAAGTTAATTAATTCTTTTGTACTATTTTAGATGTTTGCTTTTTAATAGCAGGAGATTCAAAGTACTTCACATGATGAAAACAAAACAATAATCTTCAACATAAAGACCTGGATGAGTTTCTCCAGACCCTTTCAGTTGTTTAGTCCTGAAAATGTTCTTCAGCTGATAGAAGGCCGACTTTGTAACCGTCTTTATGTGACTGCAGGTCAGATCTGATGTCCAGTCTTAAGCTGTAATGACTGAGGCTGTTTTTAGCGACTCTTGATCTGTAAGAACTGTTTCAGTTTGGTTTCTGTTGGCCCTTCATGCACTGATTTGTTTTAAACATCTGTTTAGTGCGTAAGGTCGAGCTGTGTATCATTATCTGTGTATCATCTGCATAGTTATGATTCCAGTGGTGCAAACCGGAGGAACCCAGGACTGAACCCAGGGGTTCTCCGCATGCCAGCTGCTCTGATGGGGAGTTAAAGTCTCTGCTCTTTAAACCAGTTCAATGCTGAACTGTTGGTGACGCGTAACATGCTGTGATGAGGTCCAACAGAACCGGCGCTGTGGCTCCTCCACAGTCTAAACCACTGAAAACCTTCTCTCACCATCAGATCTAACTCGTTTTGCTGTCTGTCGGTTAGAATTACCTCAATTATTTGTATTTGCAAAATACCAAAACACTTAGCATCAACAGGTTTCAGATTTGTTTTGTAACTTTCCTCAAACAAAGTCAGTAAAGTTAACGGTCAGAAATCTGCTGTAGATCTGGTAAATAAACACTTTGACTTTCAGTTTTTTGATTTTGTCCAGGAGATTGAAATAATTTTCATTCCTGTTTGAATGATCAGATGTTGGATGTTCATTTATAATATTTCTCAGAGATTTCAGGCACCATGATATTGCAAAAGATAAGGATCTTTATTGTTTTGTGTAATTTTAACTGTTTCAATGGAAACTTGTCAGTCGAACATAAAATGAGCAAATCTCCACTGTTTCCTGATTTGTCTTTTCTTTTCTGCAGTCAAACATGGAGGACTCGTCCATCACCCAGGCAGATTTTAATGCCTCTGAAAGGGAAGAACCGTCGGGACCCTGCAACTTCAGCAGCAGCAACAGCGTCAGCTTGCTGCTCAGCACCTACATCTTCCCCATCATCTGCATCCTGGGCTTCATGGGGAACGTCGTAATAATCATCACTCTGACATTTAAGACCAAACGCAAGCTGGAAACAGTTGAAGTCTTCCAGCTCAACCTGGCCATCACCAACCTGCTGTTCACCGTGGCGCTGGCCTTCCTGATCTACAACGAGCTGCTGTCATGGCCGATGGGCCAGGCGGCCTGCAAGCTGGTGCAGGGATCCTACAGCATCAACCTGTACAGCGGCATGCTGATGGTCGCCGGGATGAGCGTCTTACACTTCATCTGCATCTGCAGCTCTATGAACTGTCAGATGAACCTCAAACAGCTGAAACACACAGTCATCATCTGTGCGTCCATCTGGGTCTGCGCCGTTCTGCTTTCTGTCCCCACCTTCTACTTCTACCAACTGTATGAGCCAACAAGTGATACGTTCTACATGCTGGAGGGTGAAGAACACAGCAACTCCTTAGCGTCGCCGAGGTTCGTCTGTGAGTTCCAGTTTAAAGACCAGGACTTGTCCCAGATTGTGAAAGTGGCGGTTCCCAGCGTCCAAATGGCTGTCGGCTTCTTCCTGCCTCTGCTCACCATCATCTTCTGTTACATCTCCATCGTCATCAAACTACTGACACACAAGTTCAACCGAACGGTCACCAAATCCCCCAAAGAAATGGGCCAGACCACCAGGTTTTTCACAAAACCCAGAGACAATGAAGTGGAGGCAGTGAAGAGGGTGACGGGGATCATGCTGGTGTTCGTGGCCTGCCACCTGCCCCACAACCTCATCCTGCTGTACGACACCATCACCATGTTCCAGGAGATGGCGTGTGAAAAGGCGGACCGCTGGAGCACCGCCCTGTCCATCACAGAGTTCATAGCCTACCTGCAGTGCTGCCTGAACCCGGTGATGTACGGCTTCATCGGTCACAACTTCAGGCAGAAGTTCAAGCAGAAGTTCACGGAAATCTTCTGCCCAGACAAATTACAACATAGACACAGTTTCATCCAGATGTCTATAAAACGGACTACATCCGGCTCGACCATCTACCATAGTCCTAAAGATCATCCGGAAACTCCATCGGTCTAAGAGGAGGGCAAGCTTTGACTTTAATTTAGACTTTTAGATGTACTATGATTTATAGTGAAGGTAGACTCTTTTATCTAACCAGTCAAATAATTGAAACTTTTGTTGTAAAGTCACTTGTTAATCCCAGATGTTTTAGCAATGACCATGTTTTTTAAAAAAGTGGCAAAAATCCTAGAAATCAGATTACAGTTGATGAAATATCAGCTGCTTGAAGGTTTTGCTCCAGCAGGAGTTTTTCTGGCCTCCTCATGTTCAGCCAGTCAGCGTCAGCTCAGACCTGCTGTTCAGGATTTTCAGCCTGCAGTTCCAGAGAAACTCACATTTCAACGTCTCACCGCCTGTTTCACTGTTACTCTTTACCAGGTTTTATACTCATTATGCATTTTAGCTTTAAATAATGAAACATTTGCCTTGATCTACAAGTTTTACTCAAGGAAACTCAGTGTTTGGCGTTCAGTATGAAGTCATTCATTGACTGGTTGGATGTTTTCAGTCTTTGTTGTGACTGTTGGATGGTTAATGTCTGTATTTCTGTTGCATCTTCTCTTTCTCTGTTAACTAACTATTCACAAATCAAGACACTGACTCTGGAGAATGTCTGCAGACCACACACATGCTGGACTCAGACTTTTACCTTTGGATCGGCGCCACAGACATTTTCTGCCTCACTGGAGGAGTCGAATGTTTGCACTGTCATAACCTACCAGAAAAATGTTTTGCTTTATTTGTACCTTTTGTTTTATCTCCTCTGACGTTTACATATTTATATCCGATGTCTGTCTGTTTGTTGACACAGTCTTGATTAATAAAACCGGTTCTGAAGCAACCTGAGGTGAACTGAGACTCAGACAGCGAAGGGAGGAAACGACTGCAGCTCTTTGAATTATTAACTCTCATCGATGTTTCTGTAATAATCCCTGCTGGGCGTTTGAGCTCACAGCCTGGAGGCGTCTGGAAACTCAGAGATCAATTAATGACGAGCAGCAAGGAGAGAAACCATTTCAACAAACCGTTAACCTGAAGCAAAACCCAAAACAAGCAGTTTATTAAAATGTTTTTTTATTCAGATTTATGTTTGTCATGAATATGAAAGTGGTTGTGTGGAGCAGCTGCGAGGCGTCAACCTATTACCTGTCTCTGCCCTTCATATTTTAGATTCTTTGTGTCTGACGGAGATTCATTTAATGACGAGTTTCCATTCAGACATGAGAACAAACATTTCTTTCATTTTGTACGTTAGACACCAATCAGCCTGAGAAAAGATTTTATCAGACTTAATCTGGACATTTTGGGTCATAATTCAATCATATTCTATTCTATTGAAGGTGGAAATATGAGAAAAATGCAGAATCTGTTTTAGTGGCTTCAATCGTCTCATTTTGATTATTTGTAAAGTTATTGAGGTAAAAATGAATCCAGTTTCTAAAGTCTTATGAACCCAAACAGAGAAAAACTTTTTTACCAGAACTGAGATGATTTACGTTTGTCGTTCAGGTTTCAACCTGGCAGGCAGGCGGCGAACCTCAGAGGATCCCACCGAGACACGACCGGTCCAAACAAAATGACCGGTCCAAACCACCGACCGGTCCAAACAAAATGACCGGTCCAAACCACCGACCGGTCCAAACAAAATGACCGGTCCAAACCACCGACCGGTCCAAACAAAATGACCGGTCCAAACCACCGACCGGTCCAAACCACCGACCGGTCCAAAACCACCGACCGGTCCAAACAAAATGACCGGTCCAAACCACCAACCGGTCCAAACAAAAGAACCGGTCCAAACCACCGACCGGTCCAAACAAAAGAACCGGTCCAAACAAAACGACCGGTCCAAACAAAAGAACCGGTCCAAAACAAAAGAACCGGTCCAAACCACCGACCGGTCCAAACAAAAGAACCGGTCCAAACAAAAAACAAACAAACAAGTTTGATTAAAATCAGATAATAAAAGAAAAAACAATAAATGAAGCAGATCAATGAGGTTTATAGAAATATTATAATAAACAGCCTGAAGGATGAAAACTTTCTACTATGAAGATTTACTGACGTCTAACTGAAATGTAATCAGGTTAACGATGGACTTTGTTTCCTAAAGAAACTAAAATAAAAACTTTGAGAAGCTTCATCTGGAGGCTGTTGACATGGAAACAATAAATCTCAACCGTCTGACAATCATCTTCAGATTTTATCTTTTAAAAACTCATTTTAAAATCTCTATGATTTGCTTTTAATTCATTAAAATTCAAGGAAACATTCTGTTCTCTTTCTGCCGAGTCAGAAAGGATTCATTAGTCTCTGATGGGGTGAAACGTTAAACTCTGGTTTCCAGCCCGATCTCAGCCGGTTCCTCCTCCCATCCTGTTTGGTCTTTAATCACCTGCTGCACCATCATCACACCTTCACCTTCCTGCTTTATTGATCAGTTTCAACGGCTGCAAAAGGTTTGAGTTAGTTTTTAATTTTCTGTATTACTGGAGTTTGTTTGTTTTTCCAGGCGTCTTAATAAAACAACTAATGCGTCATTTTGGTTCCAACACTCAGCAGAGATTCGTCTCCATTAAACCATGAGGAGGGAAATTATCCAGACATTAATCATCTGGCCAGCTGCCAGGTCTTTATTTGATGTTTTTGTTTCTCTGAATTAATTTTCAATTAACTCTTGGAAGTATTAAGTCCATCTGTTATGTTAATGAGCTGCTGCCATCAGAAATCTGCATGAAAAGGAAATTAAATGATCCAGTAATGAGTTTCTGTCATTTCAGATGATGATGGAGGGAAAAAACACATTAAATATCATCAAAATAAAATCTGTATTTTGTTTAATTTTTTCAGGAAACGTTTGAATTAAATTCCAGACTGAGAGCGAACAGCGCCACCTTTCTTCTCATGGAATCACTGCAGATGATTTTCTCCATGTTTGTTCAACTAAATGTGTCTTAGAGTAATAATTATACATTGTAAACTTTGGAAAACCCAGTGGACCAGAACCAGAACCAGCAGACTGCCCGGCAGACCGCCCGGCGGTCTGGCCACCAGAACCGCCGCCAGGAACAAACTGGACTTCATCATCACTGAGGACTGAGATACTTGGACCCACTGCAGGACAGGAGACTCTGTGCCGAAGCTCTGGAGCGCTCCGGGTTTTATCCGAGTCCGGATCCGAGCTTTGGATCTCTGGGAGCAAAGATCCAAGATGAACGAGTCCAACGTGACGCAATTTATTGATCCTTACCAGCAACGATGATCAATACTGGTTCATGTTTTATTGATGGAAAAATCAATTTGTTCAGCAAAACGTTTGGTTGCTTTTCATAAACTCAGTGCAGCTAAAATATTTTGCTGAATTGACAGAATCAGTTACTGCATTTTTACAAGCTGCAGCTGTTTGTGTCATTATTCATCATCAATATTCATCATCAATATTCATCATCAATATTCATCATCAATATTCATCAATATTCATCATCAATATTCATCATAACCTGCTTTAAATCAGGTTTATCTGATATTATCAGACCTGAAGTTAAAACCTTCAGTTTGGTGAAGCTGCATGAATTCTTACCTGTGCATTAATATTTCACATCCTGATCCTCTTTAACATTTTAACATGAAGACCAACCTGCTGCTTCTGTTTGTGACCAACAGGCGTACCTAATAAAGTGGCCAGTGAGTTCAGCTGCATCTGAACTGAAAAACGATCGTCTGAATCTATAAACGGTTCATAACCAGATCTGTAACTTCAGAGTTTAAAGACAGACCTGCGAAAAAAGTTCAACTAAAATGAACAAAAAGAAAAGGAGAAAAAAATCAACTGAAACAAATAAAAACGGAAATTAAAGGTGAAAAACTAGAATCAACCAGATTCATGTGTACAAAACTGAAACAAACTGGAATTATAGATTTATTGGCTTTTTGAACTGATATAAAATATAAGCTGTTTACATCAGCTGTCTGCTAATCACAGCCATCCATTTTCCTGCTGGCGCCACTTATGCTTGTCCACAAAATGGTGACAGCAAAAGTTGAGAGAAAACTGAATTACTGAATCATTCTTTGAAAATAATTTCTTCTGTTCATTTATACATCATCACAATTCAATAGTTTGACTTTTTAAATTCTGCACCTGGAAATGAACCAAAAACTTTGACTAGACCTGATGAAAACTAAACATTTAGCCAGTAAAAACTAGAAAACACGAAATAAAACGAACTTGTGGAAACAAACATTCACTATGAAATTAAACTAAGATGAGAAACTATCATAACTTTGGTAAAGTGGGACGTGGAGCAGCAGATATTAATGATCAATGTTGGTTTTCTCACAAATAAAAATCTTTATGCATTTATTACTCCTCACTAAAATTATTTATTTTATTTCTAAAATGATAATGAAAACCACCGATTAGCATCTGGCATGTGAACTTACTGATGAATATTAAATAGCTGTTATGCATCTGGAAGCCATTAGATGTTGATCACTTAGCTGGAAAGCTAATTATTAGCTACCGATTGGGCGACGCGCTGCTGCCCCCCTGTGGCGGCTTGTTGTAATAAATATGGACTCAAACAGAAACATTAAAAATGTCTGAACTGTCTGAACAAACTTCTATTTTTATTCTGCTGGATGTGAATGGTCGACTCACCTTTAACTTTTCAATGTTTCAAACACATCATTAGAAATTATTAAAAAACTGTACAGTAGAAAAACAAAAAGAAAAAACACATTATTGAAAGAAGGCATAAAAACAGGCAGAGAAACGTCCTAAAAACACAAGATTATAAAAGAGGAGAAAGAAATTCATGCAGCAACGTTAAAAAGAGCCTGAGAAAGTTTGAATGCATAAAGATAAAAATATGAAAAATGAGAATAAAATGTTTTCATCCTGGTTGTGAAATTCAACGTCTTAATGAACATTTTCCACTCGGTGAAAACGAAACGCTGCAAAGCAACGAGGAGGAGCAGCAACAAGAAACAAACAGTATTTACAGCAACCTGCAACATTCAGAGGCAACAGAGCAACCAAACGGATCGATTCTGATTCAGAGAAGCAACTGAAGCTGCAGACCTGCAGGGGGCGCCGTCAGAGAATTAACAGAAATAATTTGTTTTCTTTAGTCTGTCAAGGAAGAAATAAGAGCGTTAATCTTCAAAGATCAAATGTTTAAGTCTGAGCTAAATGTTTATTTTGCTAACTAAATATTTAGTTTAGTTAGCAAAATAAATATTTAATTTGTTGCTAAATATTTAGTTTTCATTTCCTGAACTAAGAATTTAAGTTATCAAATATTGAATTTGATAACTAAATTTTTATTTCCAAAATTTTACTTCCAAATTAAATATTTAGCTCAGACCTAAATATTTATCTTACTAATTAAATATTTAGCTTACTAATTACATATTTAAGTTGCTAATTAAATATTTAAGTTGCTAACTAAATATTTGGGTTGGTAGCAGAATATTTAGCTCCTAATCAAATATTTAGGTCCAAGCTAAATGTTTAGCTTTTGAAAGTAGCCTGCTGATACCAAAATAAAAGCTGGGCTTTAGGGTAAAAAATGTTTAGTTAGCAAAATAAATATTAAATTTATTTATTTATTTATTTGCTCTTTTTATATTTTATTGTCTGTTGTAAATAAATAGATACATATTTGGCTCAGACATAAACATTTATTTTGGAACTAACTAAATATTTAGTTTGCATTTTGACATCAATAAATATGAGAAGAATATAGTAAAATTATGACTGAAAATTTGACACTAACATTTTTTCTCTGTGAAAAGTGATTAAATCAAGTTATATCTGTTTTTACAGTGTAACTGTCCAGACAGCAGCTCACGTCTCTCCAGAACCGGACTCGGGTCTGCAGGTCCGTCTGCAGCTCTGCAGCCGCTCGGCTCTCTGGACTCTGACAGAACCGTCAAAAATATCAACAATTTGTGTAAAAACGTGTCAATAAAACAACCAGCAGAAACAAATCTGAGCTCGATTTTCTATATTCTTCCTTTTTCTACCTAAACTGGTTTGATCTCTTAGCACCGTTAAAACCAGAATAAATACAAAATATGACAAATAAAGAATGAAATAATCAAATCAACAGTAAATGCAGTAGAAAGGCACTTCCAAAAGCTTCCATCTTGTTTCCGTTTCCATGGCGCCTACACCCTGTGGCGGCCGTCCTGCGGCGCGGCGGCGCTGGTCGCCGTGGTGACGGTGACGTCGAAGCAGGTCTCCATCATGACGCGGGCCTTGCACAGGTTGACGCGGCGCTGCAGCGCCGCCGTGGCCCGAGCCAGAGCCTCCGGGTACTCCTGCGACTCCCGGTCCAGGTTCTGGTCCACGTCGACTGCAGAGGAGAAACGGCGCCGTTACGATTCATCGGGAAAGAAAACCGGCGGGTTGAACCTGAGAGGAGGCGCAGCGACACGGACTGGAGCATGTCGGCTGTTTGAGGCCAACATCTGACAGATCGGATCAGAACCGAACTCTGGAGAATCTCCCAGAGGAAAAACTGGAAGGCTGAAGTTAGAAACGTCTCAATGCAGCAGAAAACCTCCAGATTTAAAGAGATCAATGAAAAAAGATTCATGACTGAAGTGAACCAGCCTGGAGGTGAACTGTTCAAAAGAATCCCTCTGAAACGATTCACCAAACACACATTAATATGCATTAATATGCATTAATATGCATTAATATGCATTAATATGCATTGATATGCATTAATATGCATTACTATGCATTAATATGCATCAACAGCTGCAGTGGAAACCACAGAACCAAACATCTGGAGTCTGCTTCTCAGTTCAATAATTAATCATCAATAAATAAATTAATTCACTTCTTCAATAACTAAAATGTGTTTAAACAAAATAAATCCAACAAAACTTTAAAACTGTTAATCAGCTGCTGCTCCAAATCTGTGAAGTTTGCTTTCAATCAGGTTATTGATTATTGATTGGAAGATTTCTGTGAACTAACATAAACAGGCTGCTGCTGAGGGGTCAGAGGTCAGCGCTGTGACCCCTGGTGTCAATCAGGGTTACATTAAAGACCATCATCATCATCATCATCATCATCCTCCTTTCTGTTTGATGTTCAGCAGAGAAAATATTTACTTCCTGTTTTGTTTGAAATGGGTGAAAAACTCATTTTTATTAAATTAATAAAACATTTATTAACTATATAAAACCCAAAACTCCTGGATCAGGTCGGCATATTCATGGTTTTCAGTTATTTCAAACTAAAACAACATAAATCAATAAATGTGCAAAATATTTCACATAAATGTAAATAAATGAATTTCCTCACAATCTGAGCTCCACCTGCTGGGATGGAGCATCAGGTGGAGCTTCGCCTCCTGCAGCTCCGCCTGCAGCGCCGCATGGCGGCGGCTCAACGCCTGCAGCCGCTGGAGCAGGACCTGAGGAGAACAGAGCCGGGTCAGAACCAGAACCACAGCCGGGTCAGAACCAGAACCAGAGCCGGGTCAGAACCAGGCCCAGGCTCAGAACCAGAACCAGAACCAGAGCCAGGCTCAGAACCAGAACCAGAACCAGAGCCGGGTCAGAACCAGAACCAGGCTCAGGAAGAATCAATCATGAAGATTCTGGTTTTGTCTGAAGACGAGGAGAAAACTGTTTCCATCATTATCATCATCATCATCATCATCATCATCGTCATCGTCATCATCATCGTCATCATCATCATCGTCATCATAATCGTCGTCGTCATCATCATCATCATCATCATTGTCTGGCTGAAATAACCCAGAGCCTGACCTCTGACCCCGTCTCCTCCTTCCTCTGCAGCCGCTCCACGTCGTCGATCTCGTACACCTTGATCTCAAACGGCTCCTTCAGGGCGCCGCCCAGCGGCGGCAGGTCCACCCACTGACCTCCGACCTTCCTGCCCAGAGCGGAGGCGTCGGGCAGTGGAGCGGGGATCAGCCGGCGCCGCAGGAAGCCGCCTGCAGGACGGACAGGTGAGGGGCGGAGTCACAAACTCACCACATAAACATGTGAAACAGAAAGTGACTCGTTCATGATCATTTAGATCATTTTGGTTCATAATTCCTGAACTATTTGAGTTTTTTATTAGCCTGGTAAAAAATTATGAATTTTTATCACAGTAACATTTTGCTGCAGTTTGATATGATGCATAATGAGAAAGAATACATGATAAATGAATATTTATGAATATATTATGATAAATCAATATGGTTTTGGTCATTTACATTCTGGGGATTAAAATATTTTGAAGGGTAATTTTGTTTACAGATAATTCATAATTTATTTCATTTATGGTTCCAGTTATAAATGTTTTTATTTTATTTTATTTTATGTGTTTGTTTGTTTGTTGTGTTTTATTTTGAATATTTATAATATCTTCCAGTTCCATTATTGACAGTTTTTTTCTGAATGATAAATGATCTTTGAGAGCAAACTTATATTATTATAATAATATAATCATTATGTCACTGGTCTGAAAACAATAATATTATAGTTTATCACAATAAATAAAGTTAAAGATACTTTTCATTCATATTTCTGTCCTGAATATTTTTATTGATCTGGTGAAATATTAAACTATTTAATGTTTCACTTCATGATAAATTACTGAAACAAATAAACTTCAATAATATTATCATTATTATTATTATTCTTTATTCCTAGATATTTATTTTCTCTAATAGTTTTAGTTTTTGAAGTTGAGTTTCACCAACAGATTATGAAAATATTTGTTTTAAAGTGTGAGGTTCAGCCTCATCCTCTGGAAACATCAGCTGGTATAAAAGCGCCGCCACCGCAGCCGCCGCAGCCGCCGCAGCCGCCGCAGCCGCCGCAGCCCGCAGCCGCCGCAGCCGCCATCATCCAAATGATTTACAACCAGCAGCTGCTGCATCGATAAGTGACCAAATACTGATAATCAACCTGTGAGAGACGCGTCAGACTGAAGGGGGTGTAGAGGGTGTGTGTGTGTGTGGGGCGGGGGTGTGTGTGTGTGTGTGTGTATGAAGTGTGAGGTGATCATTGCAGTTGGATGTGTTCCCTGAGAATCCCTCATGAAACTCATGAAACTTTCATGAGGGATTCTCATCGCAGCGTTCTGCATGAATCTCAATAATCCGCAGGAAGCTAGAAAAGGATGTGAGAGGAATCGAGGCGCTCAGACATCAGACAAGCTGCAGCGCAGCGTTAACCGACCGCCTCTCTCATCCCGTCATCACGCTCCGATACACGGAGGAATCCATAAACATGCTAATGTCTCCGTCTTTCCTCAGGAGGCGGTGAGTTCGGGGCTCTGTTGGTGTCCGACTCTGACCGGCCATCAGAACCCATTTTAATGATAATTGGTTCTGATAGAAACGTGGAACCGCTCCCGGAGAATTCACTTTGACATTTTCCTTTAAAGAAGAAAAACATCCACTTCAGATTTAGGAGGATTCAGACATTTGAAAGGCGCCTCGTCGTTATCTGCTGAGTTTCTGCAGGTTTCCAGATTTAAGATGTTTAAAAGACTTTCAGAAAAATAAATCACTGATGTTTTAACTCCATTTTTCACTCTTAAGATCCAGATATTATAGTTAAAATTATTCATTTCAGATGTGATCAAAATGTGTAAATATGGACAAAATAAAACTGGGTTGGGAGAGCAGGCTAACATTAAGGTTCTGAAATGGTCTAGTCAAAGCCCTAACCTCACTCCAGTTAAAGTATTAACAGAGTTTACAACACAAATTCATCTCCTTAGACAGCTTTAATTTTGCTGCAAGGCAAACAGAACGGACATGCCACCAAAGAGAGATGAATTCTAGGATATGGATGGAAAATTGAGTGGAAGGAAAACATGTGGTGGAGAAAAGTAGAAAAACAGGGATAACTACATGAGGGTGTTGTGGGAAAACCTCATTGAAGAGTTTAAGGGAGTCAGAGGTCCAAACTGAAATATTTTCTTCTTCTCCTGCTGTGAGTCAAAATAAGAAGAAGTAACACTTCACTCTTTTTCTTTGGCTCATAATAGATTTTCTTGTAAGCAGCTCCACCTGGTGGTTAGCAGATGTACTGCAGGATGTACAGGAATGAACACACTGAGGTGGCGATCAGTTGATCAGTCCATTAGACTGATCAATAAAAGGTATAGACGTAATTTCTACTCACCGTTTCCTCTCTTCTTGGGCGATTTGGACACCCTGCCTCGGTTGGACGCTCCGCTCTCACTCATGGAGTCGTGGGCTGATGACGTGCTGCCCGTCGTCTCGCTGTCTCGGATCATGCTCTCGTAGCCGCTGCTGCCCCCGCTGTGGTAAAACAAGGCGGTGCGGCCCATGGCGGGGGGCAGCTCCCCGCTGAGGATGCTGCTGTTGTCGCTGCCGTGTCCGCTGCTGTAGCGCTGCGGCCTCCGGGGTGCTGTGATCTTGCTGTAGGGCGAAGGCAGCAGCGTGCTGACGCCCGTCGTCCCGCTGTCGGTGCTTCCTCCGGTCCCCCTGGTGAGTTGTTTCTGAGCAGCGCCGAGCTCGCTGACCCGGCTGTTAGCTGCCCTGCTGATGACCTGCTGGGTTCCCATGATGGTGCCTCTTCCCGTCTTAACTCCGGCTCCAGCTCTGGCAGGAGGCCTGCCTGTTGGCGGTAGGCTGGCGTTGGGTCCAGGAGGGGAACTCAGGCTTTTAGAGCTGCTGGTTGACGATGTTCGAACCTTCGGTCCAGCAGAACCAGCAACACGGGAGTTGCCATTGCCTCTGACCTGCAATAATTTACTGGATGCAGAAGGAAAAGTAGGAGAGGCTTGGGAGGAGCAGGGAATGTTTAAAGGCGGAAGGCCAAGTCTTGGTACAGATCTGCTGGATTTGCAGCTACTCCCTGCAGCACCATTAGCATCTCTGAACGCTTCCGGTTTCAGCAGAGTCGAGGTTGGACTGTCTCCTCTCTCCAGAGATCTCAAGCTCCCATAGAACCTGTGAGAATCTGCTTTGGCTCCTCGTGTCTTCAGGCTGGAAGACGTTCTGGCAGAACTGTGATCGATTTTTGAACTAGACGTGTTGTGACTGAATGAATCTGCTCGGTGCCTGAAGGTGAACTCCTCCTCTGAGGTTAAGCTTTTAGGGAAAGCAAACCTCCCACTGTCACTGCTCGGTTTTAAGGCACTTGGAAACCTTGTCTTCTGTTCTTGGCTGGACTGTCTGATGAGTAGCGTAGGAGGAGAGACGTTTCCAGAGCCGGCCTTAGAGATCATGCTGCTTTTCTGCCCATTTGACTTCTTCCCCAGTGATGAAAACCTGGGCATCCCTGTCACACTGGCAGCTTCTTGACCACATTTTGTTTCAGAGCTGTGTGAAGTGGAAACCGTTCCCAGAGTTGTTGCCCCTCGCGTGAGCCGCGGCAGCTTGATGAGAGTATCTCCTCTTCTGCTGATGGGCTTCTCGCAGCCATCAATGACTCTCTGAGCTGTGGAAGACATTTGTGTCTTCGGAGATCGAGGAACACTGTTGCTGTTTCCTCCAGACCTTTTGGGGGAGATGCTAGCTGTGCTACTTCTCGTTGGCTTGCCAGCAGAGAGAAACTCAACCTCTCTTGGATCAATGAAGGTGCTTCCCTGAAACAACAAGTTCTCTTGTGTGCTGTTGCCTACGGCTGAAGAAGAGGTAGGCTTGGTTTTCCTGGGAAGACTGTAGTGGTGGGTGTGGTGGGGAGACAAAGTGGGAGTGCTAAAGGCTCTCACCTTAGAGGATCCTTTAGGTGTAGCTTTGGTGGCATCAGGGAAACCAGAGTCCTTGGTAAATGATGGTTTGTTGGGTGTGGCGGGATCACTGTCCAGCTCCGAGAAACAAATGCCACTGTCATTCAACGAACTCTTCAAAGCCATGCTGCAGAAAAGGCTGTCGATGGTATATACCTGGTGAAGTCAGGATGGACGCGCTCTCTGCTGCTGTACTCTCATCTCTCAGGAAAAACCTGTTTGCTGCTGTACTGTCTTCTCTCTCAGCGGGTCTTAATCCTGCAGAGGAATGGCAGCCTGATCCCGTTACTCCATGCAGAGTTGTGTAAATGTCATACTCATCATTGATGCTACTGATGATGCTGACTGGACGGGAACCTGCAGCCAAGGCCTGCAGCGAACACTCTGGGTTGAAGCTGAGCAGGTTGGCGGGGCGGCCATTGTCCGGGACGAGGCCGATAGGAAGCTCCTCTATGACGGTGAACACCAGCTCGTCCTCCCCGTTCAGCTCCACGGGCTGCTGGAGCGTGATGGTGGTCCTGAGCAAGTCTCTGTCCAGGCATCTTCCTAACAAAGCCGCTCGAAGGCCGCTGACTTCCACGGCATTAGCTGTGGAGTGATGGGACCTTTCCCTGTCTGGCAACTCCAAGGGTTGGCTTTGTCTTGGTGCTTGATCACTCATACCCACTGGGGGAATCCTGCTGAGAGCTTCCCCTGAGTCAAATGCTGTTATGGGCCTCTGGGGTAACGACTGAGGAGGTGATGGTCCGGTTGTAGCTCCTCTCACCTTCTCTCTTACCACAGGCTCTGGATCTGATGAGCAAGGCTCACTGGACTGTACCGAACATGGCTGAATGAGGGAACCGGAGCGTTTCTCTCCATCTGCACTGGTCCTTTTGGAGGATTCCACTGGGCTTCCAACCGAAGGGAGTCTGGAGTCTGGTCCGGTTATATTTAGAGAGGAATTCTCATCAGATTCTGGTCCAGTTTGATTCTTCATTGGTTCTGTTGCTCTGCTCTCTGTGCTTAAAGCGTTTGGAGCTTCACTGCCATCGATACAATCGAGCCTCTCCTGCAGCTCTGCGAATGTGTTGCATTTAAAGTGATCTCCGTCTGAACGGGGAGAATCTTTGGTTCGCTTCTTGTTCAGGGAGGGAATGATGGGGACAAAGGAAGGCGGGCCCTCGTTGTCGCTCAACTCTCGGTCAGATATGGCCGTTCCACCAGGACCGACGTAGATAACGGTGTCGCAGGACTGTTCGCTGCTGGAGGAATAGTCAGGATCGCTGGAGAGCAGCAGGGGTATGTCAGGATCCAGAGCCACGATCCGGGGGTAGAAAGGCTGAACGTGAGGAGGCCGACGGGATGGACCTTCCTCACAGGAACTGTCGCCTCCGGAAGAGCTGGAGGCGTACTGGAGACAGCAAAACAGTTAGCACAACAAGAATGACGGAGGCAGGCAGAGGGAAGGCGATAGCTGCTCACCCTCTCACAGCCCAGCTAAGCTAGGTTTAGCTTAATAGCTCTTTGGTTACCTAGCAACAACATGTTGAGTGCATGCGCAGCAGCAGTTTCATGTTGCCCAACATACTGGGACGTACTTTCTCCCTGGAGGGTTCACAAAGTTTTACTAAATAAAGTTCTGACAGGAAACAGCTTGGCAGGAAACGGCGTTCGTGTTTAAATTCAAGCCAATCAATGCGCAGCATGACAGCCACACCAGCTAACGCATCCAGCTGCTGGTGTGTCACAACAAACGTAGGTATTCGGTCCATGGGATCATTAAAGCTCAACCATCTGGTTGGAGCAGAAAACGCAGCTCAGCTGAGCAGCTTCATGTTTTACCTTCATAACTGATTAAGAATAAAACATATTGACAAAGTAAAGATGAAGGAAGTACTTTGGATTTCTTCTTCCTCATGCGGTGGATGCGGGACGCCAGCTGCACCGTGGTCAGCGTCTCCATGAAGTTGGCCGGCGAGTCCGAGATGTGGGCGATCATGGTGGTTCGACAGTTGATGTTACCCAGAGACTCGCTGAGCAGCATGGTGAGCTTGCTGTCTCTGAATAATAGATCATAAAAAACCTCGTTACACCAGAAGAACGAGGAAGAGACGCCCGGGAAGGACCCTGGAGACCGTTCATTACGCCGCGCAGAAGTTGGACTCAGACGGAGAGGAATGAGAAGGAAAGTCTCAGCTCACATTCACGAAGCGTACTTTGAACTGCACACAACGTGCGATCTTCTACCAGACGCACAGAGAGAAACGCGGCTTTTGAAGAGACCAGCTGCATCACAAGCTGCAGCTTCTTTCAGTTTCCTGTTTAACACCAACAGCAAAGCTGGAAATATGATCACTTTGGGCTTTCATCTGCATCCAGTATTATTGCTTATTATATGCAAATCAGTGCCTGTCCGCTGCAGATACGATACTGATGAGAATATCAGCTAATTATTATTTTATTTCACACCAAACATGCAGACAGATGGAAAATCAATTCCAAGACTTTTGCAGAAAGAGAAGTCTGGTGAGATATTGACTGCCTCTAAATATTCTTCATAACCACAATTCAGAAACATGGAACTGTCCCTTTAATTGGACAGCAGAGACAACAGGTCAGTCTTTATTGTCACCATTCAGTAAAGTTTTTAGCATCAGGCTGGTACCTGTAGGGGACGTGCTTGGCCCCGTTGGACAGCGCCAGGACGACGTTCCCCAGAGCGGACAGGGACAGACACTGAGCCGCGCCGCCCTCCCTGGTCCGGCTGATGTCCGTCTCACAGCTGCCCAGGTCCAGCAGGTGGAGACGACTCCGGCCCGACACTGAGGGACACCGGGACCAGAAACATTGAACTGCAGGCTCTGAAGTTAATTAATCACATTTTGATTTTAATTTTTGCACCAGATTTACAGACGTCCCAGAAACATGCAGATATAAAGTTCCACTCTGAACTTTTATATGTAAAAAATGCAATTAATTGAGCTGAATGTTTAACATATTAAAATTTATGTCATTAATTCATCAAAATGAACATATTAAAGTCTAAAACCATCGACGCTCCTAAAAGCCAGTAAGTGTTTTCATCCCTGTGGTTTCTGCAGTTATTTGCCTATTTTAATTATTTTAAAGAGCATTTCTGCTGGTTTTGAATATTTCTGCTTTTCTGCACTACTTTTATTTTGTTGCTTTTTAATGCACATTATTAATTTAAAAAGTGACTCTACATCCCTGCTGTCTGAATATGCTGTTAACTGCACTGTATTGTTATGATGCAATCTTCTGAGCAGGATGTGAGTTGTAATCTGCTTTTATGTATATTTTTATGTCCCATCCAATAAAAGCTGCTTCCCCAGATCCAGATTTAACGGTTTCAGATAAAAGCGTCTCCAGTTCAGCTCCTGCTTGTTTTCATGTCTCTAATCAACTCTGATAAATATTCAGCAGCATTTTAACCGCCTGCTTATTCCAGTAATTCAGAGTAATGAGGTTGTGAAAGTTCAGCTGCCCACATCAGCAGGATTTGGAAACTGCTGAGAGCAGCTGAGCGTCCCCCTTTCTGCCCGCCGCCCCATAAACACGGCGGGACGCTGGGCCTCATTAGGCCCGATGGTTTCCAGGACTGGACAGTGGCAGGTGGACGGGGTGGTGGCTGTTAACGAAGCCCCAGGGCTGGTAATTGATCCTGTTCAGCTCCAGATGAAGCTAATTAGCGGCTACATGTTAGCAACAGGAAGACAAGCTGCAGGAATTTATTTCTGCCTCAGAGTCTCTGAGCTGCTGTTTCACTCCAACAAGCACAAAGATCCGATTTCATTTCCACTTCAGAGGTTTAATTTATTAAACTCTCTACAGGCTAAAGGGACATTCTGCGATTTTATTCTGTTTCAGTCTTTAGTTTGTGCAGAAGTTAAATAACGGAGGAAGAAAGTCTGAACATCAAACCAACAGACAAACTGAATATTTCACTCATACAACCTTTATGTGTTTTGGCATAAACAAAATGTTTACATGAATCCCAGGAAGAGAGAATCATAATCGCTGCGGCTGTGAAGCTCTTCAGTCAGAGATTCTAGTTTTTAATGAGCTACTTAAATGAATGAATAAATCTGACATTTATTTTGGTATTATTTGCAGTAAAGTTATTTTTGGGGCAGTACCGGCTTTAATGTCACTCCGCATTCAAAAAGCCAAAGTTACATTTACAGTTTGTAACTGAAGTACGGAGGTGGCAGCATCATGCTGAGAACTTCAGACGGTTTGTGAGGAAATATTGAATCAGCATCTCAAGACATCAGTGAGGAAACTTAAAGACAAAACAATAAAAACGTCTCCTTGCCCTCTGACCTGTTGCCCTGTTGCTCTTGTCTGCCCTCTCCTGGTAGAGGTGGAGCGTGAACAGGAAGTGGGAGTTCCTCCGGGCGTCCTGGTCGTTCGGCATCCGGCTGCTCCTCCTCTCCGCCAGAGCGGCGTCCAGGAAGTAGGCGGCGCGCTCGGCGCTGGTCGCACGCAGCTCCGTCTGGTTCTGCAGCTGATCGGACCAAACAGAAAAACTAATTTCATTATTTCTGCAATTAGAAGAGAAGTTTCTCCTAAACTCAATAATATTATCAGGAAGGAGCTTCAGGAGGATCTTTGGGGTTGAAACCTTCTGCGTTTTTAAAGAACTCCTGACTTTAACTGAACTCTGGTTGAAATGAAGACATCTGAATCTCTGAGCCATCTGAGCTCAAAGCGCTTCTTCGCCTCGCAGAGATAAAAGGCAAAACGAGACAGAATGGGGTTTGATGAAATAAGGACGTCTGTAGGAGCGCAGCACAGAAAAGAGCAGAGACAGAAGAAGAAAATTAAAGCGAGAGCAGATAAAAAGAGTCAGACTGAAGGAGCCTGGGGAGATAAAAGTGAGGAAGATCCAAACTAATTGGACGGTTCTGGAGAGCGACGAAATCCCAGGAGGTGAAGATGAGGTCAGAGGAAGAAGAGGACAGGAAGCTTAAAGGACGACTGCAAACAAAATGTCCAAGAGCACAAAGTCATGTGAATCAGGTTTGTTACGTTGTGCTACTTTGCTTTAGCTCCATGATTTTCACCGTTTGTTTGATTCATCCGGATATCAGGTCAGTATCGGTATCGGCCAATAATCACGGTAGTATCGGTATCGGCCAATAATCACAGCGGTAGTATCGGTATCGGCCAATAATCACAGCGGTAGTATCGGTATCGGCCAATAATCACAGCGGTAGTATCGGTATCGTATCCGGAGGGAAACAGTTGAACATCGTGTTGCGTCATTTCCACATGATGCACAACGCTGCGCTGTGTTACATTTACTTTATAACATCAGAGGATTCTCCTTTTTGGACGAGTTCAGATTTTATTGGAGCAAAACATCAACAAACTTTAATGACAGAAATCGTCTTTATATATAAAAGTCGTCGTGTTTCTGCGTACCTGGGAGCCGCAGACAGGATCCTCCCGCAGAGACACGGCCGGCCCCGGGGCCTCCGCTTGGCTCCCTGCCGAGGCAGAGAGGTCAGCCAGCAGGTCGGAGAGCGCCTCCTCCTGGCCGGAGATCTCCACCGCCGAAACTCCGACGGAGAAACGAGCGCCGCTCTTCTCCCTGCGCTCCTCGATGAGCTTGAAGAGCCAGGAGATGGCGGTGGGCGCCACGCCCAGGCTCTGGGTGGAACAGTCCCGGCCAATCATGGTGTACGTCTTCCCTGGGGGCGGAGCAAACGAGGGGTTCAACGGGGACGCGTGCGTCGGTGTGTGAAGGAACTAGAGCGGTTGTTACCCAGGTTGGCGTGTCCGTAGCAGAAGATGCAGCCGTCGGCCCCGTTCACCACCGACTGGATGACCTCTGACACGGTCCCAGAACAAACCTCAGCCTGTCAGGAGTCAAAGGTCAGACGGCGTCAGGATGCTATGACATGTAGTGGTTTGAGACGCGAGGTTTGAACTGAGCAAACCGGTTTTTAAAGTGAACAAGCTGAGTTCATTTAAAGGAGCAGGATTACGTAAAATCGACTTTTTTCATCTTTCCATCATGTTTTCATGTTTTTCCCTCATCAGAAACAAACCTGGAGTTTTACTTTGATTCCTGAATGTTTGATAAACCCTTTAATCTCCATTCAGCTGCAAAACGCCTGGGTGGACCAAGCCCCGCCTCCGAGTCGCATAAATTTGCTGTTTTAACATCACAGTGATGGACCTAAAGATTCATGATGCGACGTTTAAAGGAACATTTCAGACATTTCTCTGGCAGAAAGTGAAAATATTAAGTTCTTCAAACCTGATTATAACTCAGGATATTAAAACAATCCTTCAGACGCTCAGTTCCACCAAAGTCTGTTTCATTTGTTCGGGTTGGAGCTCAGTGAATCGGATCATTTCACGCTGGACAGTGAAGAACTGGACCTTAATGCCAACACTCAACGCTCCTTTAAAACCGTCAAGTTTACGGTTGACATTTCAAATAAATCTCTGGAATATGAGCCACAGGGAAGCTTTGATATTCTTTAGCTTCATAAACCATAAAACATTTTGTGGATCAGAACAGATGAACCGGTTCTGGATCATGTTGGGTTTAACTTCATCTGAGGTCACATGTGGTTCATGTCACAATGTGATGCAACATTTCAGTTTTTATACATCTGTTATGTACAACGATGCATAACAAGGAGGAAAGGTGAAAAAGTCACAGCCTGAGTTAATCTGCTGCATCCTGACAGCTCGGCTCTGCTGCGTCACATCAAACTGCATCAAACTGCATCAAACCACATCAAGCTGCAGCTCTGATCCTCTCTGGGGACGAGGAGTGGCGCGGCGCCACCTCGCTGATGAAGAGCTCAAACTCCAGCTGCGTGCTCTGAATCTGAATCTGCAGCTCCTCCACTGAAACCTGTTCATCCCTCACACATCCAGACGAGGATGAGGAGGATGAAGAGTTTCAGGAGCTCCTCCCACCTGTGACGCGTCCTGCGTGAAGATGGCGTCGAAGGTGAAGGTCTTCGGCGCGGCGGGTCGTCTCTGACCGGACGCAGAGTTCCCGCCGCTCGGCGTCTCGATCAGAGTCAGCTGCTTCTTCCTGCCGTCCACCTTCAGGAAGGAAGTGGACTCCGAGTCGCTGCTGTTCACCGAACTGATGCGGACCATGACCCGAACCTGAGGACGGACAGGAAGTCCACATCAGAGCCCAGCAACAACTTCAACACGTTTCAGAATCTAAATGACAGAAAATTAAAGTCAAAATCTGCTATTAGCGCTGATGCTAAAAACGCTAAAGAATTTATTAGTGCAAAATAAATGTCACATTTCATAACCTGAACCAGGTACAGATCTGGTTCAGGTTCTGGTGACCCGCCTGTCGGCCTGCAGCTTCATTTTCTGGGATTAAATCCGTTTTTACCAACTGGACCAAATTCATCCTGTCCTCTGAAATGTGACGGAGCTGCAGCTCCACGTCTGGCCGTTGGGTCTCTGCTGGACTTTATCGGCCCGTCAAAGAGCTGCTGATCCGGCGCTGGGCAGCGAGTCTGAAGAAGATCACCGCCGCTGCAGACAGGAAACGGCTGCAGCAGACAGGAAACAGCTGCTGCAGACAGAAAACGGCTGCAGCAGACAGGAAACGGCTGCTGCAGACAGGAAACAGCTGCTGCAGACAGGAAACAGCCACTGCAGACAGGAAACGGCTGCTGCAGACAGGAAACAGCTGCTGCAGACAGGAAACATCTGATGGAAACAGACAGGAAACGGCCGCTGCAGACAGGAAACGGCTGCTGCAGACAGGAAACAGCCACTGCAGACAGGAAACGGCTGCTGCAGACAGGAAACAGCTGCTGCAGACAGGAAACATCTGCTGCAGACAGGAAACGGCCGCTGCAGACAGGAAACAGCTGCTGCAGACAGGAAACGGCCACTGCAGACAGGAAACGGCTGCTGCAGACAGGAAACGGCTGCTGCAGACAGGAAACAGCCACTGCAGACAGGAAACGGCTGCTGCAGACAGGAAACGGCTGCTGCAGACAGGAAACATCTGCTGCAGACAGGAAACGGCCGCTGCAGACAGGAAACAGCTGCTGCAGACAGGAAACAGCCACTGCAGACAGGAAACAGCTGCTGCAGACAGGAAACAGCTGCTGCAGACAGGAAACGGCTGCTGCAGACAGAAAACGGCTGCAGCAGACAGGAAACGGCTGCTGCAGACAGGAAACAGCTGCTGCAGACAGGAAACAGCTGCTGCAGACAGGAAACAGCTGCTGCAGACAGGAAACGGCTACTGCAGACAGGAAACAGCTGCAGCAGACAGGAAACAGCTGCTGCAGACAGGAAACAGCTCGAGGGTTCAATTCCCTCATCAGAACCCGGGCGGCGTCCTACCTTCCCCATGCCGGGCGTGTCCTTGACCTTTGACCCGGCCCGTAGGAGGCATGGCGGGACGGCGGGCGGCGACAGCTGCAGGGCCCCGCTGAAGCCTCCGGTGAACAGCGGCGTGGCCCCGGGCGGCGGAGCCTCGGTCGGCGCCGCCGGGCCCGACTGGGACTTCCTCCTGTGGGACAAACTGAGCTTCTGAGCCGCCCTGCAGAGAGACAGAACCGAGACAGAACCGAGACCGGTTCTGGTTCAGAACAACACCAAACATTTATAGATGTAAACAAAACAGACACAAACAGAGGTCAGTTGGTTCTGACCCGACCCGCCAGCTGGAGGAACAATCAGAACTTTAAAACACCAAACCAGAACCAGAACCTCTGATTGATCCCAGAACTTTAGTAAAACTACAGAGGAAAACGCTGAACTGTGGTTCTGATCAAAGTTTCTCCTCCAACCAGAACCAGAACCCGGGCGGTTCTTCTCTTCTCTGATGAATCCACATGCAGGCGTTTGGGTCGGTACCAAACCGGAAACATTTGAGCCAATAAAAACGTTTTGATGAAGCTTCTCTGATGGTTCTGATTTCAAATCGTTTTCCAAACCGATTCTGGTTTCAGTGACACATAAATTTAATGCTGCAGAGGAAGAGGAGGAGGAGGAAGAGGAAGAGGAGAAAGAGGAAGAGGAAGAGTGTCCCTGCACTCCTCCTCTTCGTCCCTCCATCCACAGTGAGTCCAATCAGAAACAGAGCGTGTCATCGGAGCGCCATGAAGGACGACCTGCAGGGATTCAACACAGGAACAGAGAGAGAGCCGGGGGCGTGTGTGTGTGTGTGTGTGTGTGTGTGTGTGTGTGTGTGTGTGTGTGTGTGTGTGTGTGTGTGTGTGTGTGTGTGTTGGTGACATTTCTGCTTCCTCGATGGGATCGGCCGACAAATGTTAACCAGAGGCACAAATCGCCCAGGAATCGTCTGATTCCACTGAAGCGACACGATTTCTGCTTCTGAATGAAAAAGTCACAAAAGTTTCTGCAGAACAAAAACGGAAGAAACAAGAAGAAAAACGAAAAGAAAAGCAGCAGCAAGAAAAGTTAGAGGGAGGGAGAAAGCTGAGAGGAAGCAGCTTCAGACATCCTGATTCAGCTGAACGGAGCTGATCTGGATTAACGACCCGGCAGAACCAGGAGAACTTTTCCTGCTCCAGAAAAGTTCTGCTGGACCCGACATCCTGAGGACTAAATGAGAACAAATCATAGAAACCAACAAGCTGAGGACAGAAATGTGGAGTTATGGAAGTAAAGAAGCCGACTGATAGTTTGTCCAAGCACATTAATGGAAAGTTGAGTGGAGGGAAAAAGTGTGTTCGAAGTGATCCAAACCTCTTCTGAACCAGAATCGACACCAGAATCATCTAAACCTGTGTTCACACTGCAGCCTGAAGTGACACAATTCAGATTTTTGGTCAAATAGGATTTTTTTCCCAGACATTCAACGTCCAGATAAAAGCCAGCAGAACGCCCCACAGTGCCAACGATCTGCCAACGATCTGCCAACGATCTGCCAGCCGCCACACAGAAGAAGTTCTCAGTGTTTGTGGAAGTAACCCAAGCTGGTTCCAACCCGATCTGTTCTGATCAGAACCGGGTCGCTTCAGGCTGCAGTGTGAACGCAGTCTGATGTTCCCTCGCTGATGAGCTTCATGCTGAATTCATTCCCAGAACCATTTCATCCAGCGCTGAGCCGCCGTTTCTACAGACGACCAGAACCAACGAAGAAGAGCTGCAGGTCGGTTTAAAGCAGCAGCAGAACCAAAGAGAAGAATCAACAGAACCTCTGATGAGGGAGGAGAAACATCAGCAGCAAATTCTGATGTCACCTTCCTGTCCTACCATCACAAACAGAAACTGGGAGTCTGCTGAACTCTAGGTGGACTTTAACTGGACCATCCCGGGTTTGTTCTGATTCCTCTGCTAGAACCGATCTCTACTCACAGGTCCTTCCGGTCCATTATCGTCCAAACTGGTTTTCATCCTGATGCATCTTGAAAAGGCAGATTCACTCCGAGTGAGAAGAAAATCCAAACTGAAGGAGGAAGACTGGAACCAACTGGGCTCCTTTACTGGTCAAACTGGACCAGGAGAAAATCCCCACAAGACTTCGTGGTCCATGAACCTGCATCCAGACCCATGTTTCATTCTTCCCAGGAACAATTTACTGTTTTTCCAGTTTTATTCAAACATCAAATCTGGAACTTTCTGCTCCAGAGAATCCGTCAGTTTTTACATCTGGATCCTGAACTTCATCAGGGCTTGGAGCAAAGTTCCTGTTGTCCGTCCATCAGCTGGAGGACTGGAGACGTTCTTCCCTCCAGAGACGGGAAAACGTCCTGCAGCCGGACGCAGCGTCTGTCCACCGATCCGTCTGTCCACCGATCCGTCTGTCCACCGATCCGTCTGTCCATCGATCCGTCTTCTCCTCTCAGACATCAAGCAAACTGGATCAGCTCATCAACGAGTCTTCAGAAAGTTTCTCTTTGGATGAAACCATCAGTTTTTATTGACATCATTTTATTGATGGTTTTTCTGATCCCAGTATGAGTCCAGCAGCTCAAACTGGTTCATTTCGTCCCATTCAAAGACAAAATGTGGGAAAGTTTTCAAAGTGTTCGGAAAATTCAGCAGAAAAGACAGAAACTAGTTCAGGAACAGCAACTTCACCTGTCCTTTCTGTGCAGAGACAGAGACAGGTTCCCCAGTCCATCTGTCCTCTGGTCCTCCTGTCTCATCCCAGTCTGTCCTCCTGTCTCATCCCAGTCTGCCGCCGGGCGGATCAAAGGGAACTTTCAGGGAACAGCTGCAGACGTTCCCCTCTCTCCTCCTCCACCTGTAAACTCGATGTCTTCATCTGCTCCTGCAGTCGACGCTCCTCTCCATCCAGCTCCTCTCTGATCTCTCCTCCTCGTCCCTCCTGGATGTTTCTCCTCTCATCCTTCGGTTTCTCCTCGTTTCCTTCTTCTCTTCATTCTCTGGTTTCTCTCGTTTCCTCCTGCTGTCTCCTCTCCCCTCCTGTAGCTCCTCAGTCTGTTCCTGCAGTCTGTATCGCAATGCTGCTCCGCTCAACCCCTCCCACCTTCCTCCTCCTCCTCCTCCTCCTGTAACTCCAGGAGAGAGAGGGATGAAAGGACAGCAGCGAAGGAGGATGAAGGACTGGAACAAGAGGAGGAAATAAAGCGGGTGGATTCCTGATTCTGGCTCCTGTTGTTGCCGGGAAACACGGGAGAAGCTGCAGCCTTCCTCCTCCTCTTCCTCCTCCTCCTCTTCCTCCTTCTCTTCTTCCTCCTCCTTCTCCCTGTCCGTCTGCCTCTTTCACCTCCTCTGCCTCTTTTTGCAGCCCCACCCTCCTGGGAAAACACACACACACACACACACACACACACACACACACACACACACACACACACACACACACACACACACACACACAGAGTGCCTGAAATCCAGCAGAGGGGTGTCAGACGTCTCATGAAGTATTCATGCAGTGTGTGTGTGTGTGCGTGCGTGTGTGTGTGTGCGTGTGTGTGTGTGTGTGTGTGTGTGTGTGTGTGTGTGTGTGTGTGTGTGTGTGTGTGTGTGTGTGTGTGTGTGTGTGTGCGTGTGTGTGTGTGTGTGTGCGTGTGTGTGTGTGTGTGTGTGCGTGTGTGTGTGTGTGTGTGTGCGTGTGTGTGTGAGTGTGTGTGTGTGTGTGTGTGTGTGTGCGTGTGTGTGTGTGTGTGTGTGTGTGTGTGTGTGTGTGTGTGTGTGTGTGTGCGTGTGTGTGTGTGTGTGCGTGTGTGTGTGTGTGTGTGCGTGTGTGTGTGTGTGTGTGTGTGTGTGTGTGTGTGTGTGTGTGTGTGCGTGTGTGTGTGTGCGTGTGTGTGTGTGTGTGTTGGACCGTAGTTCCGGCCAACAGATGAATTAGTCAGATTACAGATCAGGGCCTCATTAACTGTCTGTATTAACAAAAATTCTCCTCAGATGAAAATGATCTGGGTTTGGTTCTGGTTCTGGTTCTGGTTCTGAGTCTGCAGCAGCTGTGTGTGCTGTCAGCTGCTGCAGCAGAACCAGAACCAGACCGGGTTCTGCTGCAGGCGGTTCTGATGGACAGAGTCCGATTCCTCGCTGAGAATCTGAGCATCAAAGTGGAAAAATGTGTCAGAAAGAAATTCTGCTTAATGGGTCAAAAGGGAGACGGACCGAGCCGAGGGAACTGGACCGAGGTTCTGATCGGTCCGAGGCTTTTAGCCGGAAACGGGTCGGCCACGGTGGAGCGGGTCTCAGCAGGCGGTTCTGTCTGGAGGCTCGGTTCTCTGCTCCATTTTCAGCTGTTTGCTCCTTAAAAGCGAACACTAAAGGTTTTTACTCTGAAGACGTGACGGAACCGGACCCGGTCTGCCATCGGGTCCAAAGCTCTGCAGATCCTGAAGGTCCGACAGCAGCGGCTCTGAAGGCTTCAGGAAAATCTCTGCTGCCCAGGAAGTCGATGGAAAAGTTTTGGGCCGAGGGCCAGGAAAGCACTTTGGGAAACCCGACGCGCCTCAGAGGAGAACTGGGCTCATTTTGGTTCTTTTTGGTCCGGAAATCCAGAATCGGATCACAGCAAAACGTGACGGAACCATGAAGCTGTGAGGAGAAAGACGTGAGAACCGACATCATCATTCGTCAGCATGAAGACTTTACAAATAGATAGATAGATAGATAGATAGATAGATAGATAGATAGATAGATAGATAGATAGATAGATAGATAGATAGATAGATAGATAGATAGATAGATAGATAGATAGATAGATAGATAGATAGATAGATAGATAGATAGATAGATAGATAGATAGATAGATAGATAGATAGATAGATTGATTGACTGCTGGTCCTGCTGGTTCTGCTGGTTCTACTGGTTCTACTGGTTCTGCTGTGTTCTCCAGCGCCGTGGCTTCAGTGGTGAAACTTTAGCGCCAGCAGAGACGCCGTCCTCTGATCCGAGGCTCTGCGGCGGCGTCAGAGGACGCAGAGAGAATAAAACATGGCCGCCGGCCGCGTTTCCTCCTGAGGTTTTTATTCCAGGATGATGAAAACATGAAGGCAGAGATATTCATGTTCCCAACCGAACCAGGACTCTTTTCTGATCCGGTTCAGAACCAAACTGATCAGTCTGTGGCTTCGGGAGCAACTAGTGGACCTGAGTCAGAACCGGGATGTGAGCGCCGACCAGCCGGCCTCGACTCAAACTCACAATCTGACGACTGGAAGAGAAACGCTTCCCTGCATCCTGCAGCCGCGAATGGAGGTCAGAATCTACATTTCAAGGCTTGAAAACATTTCCTGATTCCTGAATGTATTCATAAGATTTTCTATTTTTACAATCTGTCAGCATTATTATGCCAGGAAAGATTCATAATAAAGATCCGATTTCAGACGAACGTTTTGGGTCCTCAGTGAGAAATCAGAGTCAGGAAGAATCAACATCAAGATTTATGACAGCAGAAAAGTTTCTGTTTTATCAGAACAATAAAGCTTCACGTTTTATACACAGAAGAAGAAGAAATAGTAAAATATCCAACAGAGACGACATCAAACCACCTGAACCGGCTCAAAACCGCCTGACCCGGGTCAAAACCACCTGACCCGGGTCAAAACCGCCTGAACCGGGTCAAGAACAGAACCAACCAGAGGCAGCGTTCCAAACTCTCCTCTCCTCAGATGAAGAGTCGGGTTAGCATTGGGTTAGCATTGACTTAGCATTGGGTTAGCATTTGGTTACCATTGGCTTAGCATTGACTTAGCATTGGGTTAACGTTGGGTTAGCATTGGGTTACCATTGGCTTAGCATTGACTTAGCATTGGGTTAGCATTGGGTTAGCGTTGGGTTAGCATTGGGTTAGCATTGGGTTATCGTTGGATTAGCATTGACTTAGCATTGGGTTAGCATTGGCTTAGCGTTGGGTTAGCATTGGGTTAGCGTTGGGTTAGCATAAAGGTTAGTGTTGGGTTATCCTTACTTATCGTTGGGTTAGCATTGGGTTAATGTCAGCTGGAGCTGCTGATTCACATGCTAACAGCTCAAAAACAAATGGTCTGTTTCTCTGACCAGACTGAAGAGCCTCAGACATTTTGGACGTCTGGAGAGAAAAGCTGCAGATCAGGAAACCAGGAGCCAAACTGACAGCTCCAGTCAGCTTCTGTTTCTGTTGTTTTCACTAAATGTTCAGCTCACCTTTCTGTAATTTTTATTTTGGATTTATTTTGATATTGAATTTAGCGCTTTAGCCTTAGCGCAGCTAACCTTCAGTCAGGTTAATCACCTTCTATCTAGATGCAGCTCTCTGCTGCTTCACGCTGAGAATTGAATAAATCTGAAGTGTTTGGTCTCCGTTGTTGTTGCAGCAGGAAGTGAGCGGCTCAGCGAGCCGAGCGCAGAGGCAGCGGCGCGGTCGCTCTGCAGGGAGCTGCAGGCTAATCCAGCCTTCACACATCTGCAGATGAAAGCACAGCGACTCTGCTTCAACCTGAACGGCACGCTGACAGATGCATGCTGGGAAATCTGCTGGTTACTGCAACTGTGAGACTCAAGAGTTCAGCTGACAGCCTAAACAAATCCTCATCTAGTTTACATAACAGAGAAATATTAGATTTTTCTATTTTCTCTGCAGGTTTCATTTAAGCCTCAGCAGGAACTTTTTATTGAAAAAAAATTACTCTGGAGACCCGAACTGATATCAGCAAAACCCGGAAAAATGTTCCGGTCGTTTAAAAAATAACCGTCCAAACTGGGGAAATATTCCTTTAACGTGACCACAAAGAAAACCTCGACCTTTTGACCTCAGTCAAGCTAAACATGGTAGAGACTAAAATATAAATATGTAAATATTTATGACCAGCAGCTCCTGGTTCGGTTCCTGATCCCGTCCTGCATCAGAACCAGAACTGTTCTGCTGGTTCCTTCCAACAGAACATCAACGAGTTCAGGTTCTGTTTATAGACCTGCAACTTTAGACCTGCAACTTTATAGACCTGCAACTTTATAGACCTGCATCTTTATAGACCTGCAACTTTATAGACCTGCATCTTTATAGACCTGCAACTTTATAGACCTGAAACTTTATAGACCTGCATCTTTATAGACCTGCAACTTTATAGACCTGCAACTTTATAGACCTGCAACTTTATAGACCTGCAACTTTATAGACCTGCATTTTTATAGACCTGCATCTTTATATACCTGCAACTTTATAGACCTGCATCTTCATAGACCTGCATCTTTATAGACCTGCATCTTTATAGACCTGCAACTTTATAGACCTGCAACTTTATAGACCTGCAACTTTATAGACCTGCAACTTTATAGACCTGCATCTTTATAGACCTGCATCTTTATAGACCTGCAACTTTATAGACCTGCAACTTTATAGACCTGCATCTTCATAGACCTGCATCTTTGTAGACCTGCATCTTTATAGACCTGCATCTTTATAGACCTGAAACTTTATAGACCTGCATCTTTGTAGACCTGCATCTTTGTAGACCTGCATCTTTATAGACCTGCAACTTTATAGACCTGCAACTTTATAGACCTGCATCTTTATAGACCTGCATCTTTGTAGACCTGCATCTTTGTAGACCTGCAGCTTCATAGACCTGCATCTTTATAGACCTGAAACTTTATAGACCTGCATCTTTGTAGACCTGCATCTTTGTAGACCTGCAACTTTATAGACCTGCAACTTTATAGACCTGCATCTTTATAGACCTGCAACTTTATAGACCTGCAGCTTCATAGACCTGCATCTTTATAGACCTGAAACTTTATAGACCTGCATCTTTGTAGACCTGCAACTTTATAGACCTGCATCTTTATAGACCTGCAACTTTATAGACCTGCATCTTTGTAGACCTGCAACTTTATAGACCTGCAACTTTATAGACCTGCAACTTTATAGACCTGCATCTTTATAGACCTGCAACTTTATAGACCTGCAACTTTATAGACCTGCAACTTTATAGACCTGCATCTTTATAGACCTGCAACTTTATAGACCTGCAACTTTATAGACCTGCAACTTTATAGACCTGCATCTTTGTAGACCTGCAACTTTATACACCTGCATCTTTATAGACCTGCAACTTTATAGACCTGCAACTTTATAGACCTGCAACTTTATAGACCTGCAGCTTCATAGACCTGCATCTCTCCAAGTTCTCCTGCTGCTGTCTGAGACGTCAGCCGGATCTCCACGGCACCAACAGGACGCCTAATGTGACCCGTTTGCTGTGTTTCACCGCTGAGAAGAAAAGCTCCAC